CTAAAAGCGGCACAACCCAGTTGATGTTCCTCTGTAACAAACTAACACAACCCAACTGATGTTCCACTGTAACAACCTCACACAACCCAGTTGATGTTCCACTGTAACAACCTCACACAGCCCAGCCGATGTTCCACTGTAACAACCTCACACAACCCAGTTGATGTTCCTCTGTAACAACCTCACACAACCCAGTTGATGTTCCTAACAACCTCAACAACCTCCATTACAACCTCACACAACCCAGTTGATGTTCCTCTGTAACAACCTCACACAACCCAGTTGATGTTCCACTGTAACAACCTCACACAGCCCAGTTGATGTTCCACTGTAACAACCTCACACAACCCAGTTGATGTTCCACTGTAACAACCTCACACAACCCAGTTGATGTTCCACTGTAACAACCTCACACAACCCAGTTGATGTTCCACTGTAACAACCTCACACAACCCAGTTGATGTTCCACTGTAACAACCTCACACAACCCAACTGATGTTCCAAACAACCTCACACAACCCAGTTGATGCTCCACTGTAACAACCTCACACAACCCAGTTGATGTTCCACTGTAACTGTAACAACCTCACACAACCCAGTTGACCCAGTTGATGTTCCACTGTAACAACCTCACACAACCCAGTTGATGTTCCACTGTAACAACCTCACACAACCCAGTTGATGTTCCACTGTAACAACCTCACACAACCCAGTTGATGTTCCTCTGTGTAACAACCCAGTTGATGTTTCCTCTGTAACAACCTCACACAACCCAGTTGATGTTCCTCTGTAACAACCACACAACCCAGTTGATGTTCCTCTCCTCACAGTAACCCTCACACAACCCAGTTGATGTTCCACTGTAACAACCTCACACAACCCAGTTGATGTTCCTCTGTAACAACCTCACACAACCCAGTTGATGTTCCACTGTAACAACCTCACACAACCCAGTTGATGTTCCACTGTAACAACCTCACACAACCCAGTTGATGTTCCACTGTAACAACCTCACACAACCCAGTTGATGTTCCTCTGTAACAACCTCACACAACCCAGTTGATGTTCCACTGTAACAACCTCACACAACCCAGTTGATGTTCCACTGTAACAACCTCACACAACCCAGTTGATGTTCCACTGTAACAACCTCAGAGTTGATGTTCCTCTGTAACAACCTCAGTTGATGTTGATGTTCCACTGTAACAACCTCACACCCTCTGTAGTTGATGTTCCACTGTAACAACACAACCCAGTTGATGTTCCACTGTAACAGCCTCACACAACCCAGTTGATGTTCCACTGTAACAACCTCACACAACCCAGTTGATGTTCCACTGTAACAACCTCACCCAGAAAACTGCTGTTCCATCATAACAACAAAGGTGACTTGGTTTAGCTAATGTTCCAAGGTGGAGGACCTTCATGTAAAGGAAAGAACAAACACACAGACCATGCCACAGCTATATTACAAGACAGGTATGAGAAGCATACACTGCTAGACCCTGATCCAGGTGTTTTTTCATAACATTCAAACACGAGTAACGAAAACAATCTTGTACAGCAATCACAATAAATGTTACAAAAAGGCATTTCCGGGCATGTTAATGTCAACCTACATTTCGCTGGCATTAGCTGTCAGCTTACCGACACAGATCAGCATGTCCAACTGGAAGGTGAGAGACCATATGAGACAGACATAGACCGACCCTAGACATTCATAACAAAAGTAAAGACAGCTAGTGAATGCTGTCAGCATTATTAGAGCTTTATCCTTTTGTCCGTTACACAATCAAGCATGGACCGAACAAACCAAGTGTTTATAACATGATATCACAATCAGGGTACCACTCAGTCTAGCCCACAATCCCCCTGTCTGCCTGCCCCACCAAGGGCTTCTCATGCTTGAAACTAAGGGGATAAGCTGCCCATGCATCACCTCACATGTGAGGGTCTCCATCGCTGGCGGGATACAGTGTTACTTAGTGTAACAATGAGTACTACAAGTATTACACAGGGTTGTAGACTAAACACTAGTTCTAAAACACGTCACCATGCAAATTATCAATCATTATTCTGCAATTCCATCATCATGTGACCATCAGATATAAGATTTATTGTAAGTCCTATTGCCAACCAGAAAACACTAGAATACACACATGGAGAAGTACCACCATACACACAAGGTGTATCTGGGCAAGCCTACCTCACCTGCTGATATAAATCATGACGCTCCTGTACAAATATGACAACAATTGCAATACTTAATTTCCATCATTTTTGCATTAAATTATTCATGGGTGAAGGTGACAAGAGGTTGTTCCTATCATCCACTATTTTACTCTTATGGCAGGGTCATGCTGTAACATGGGGTCATGCTGTAACATGGGGTCATGCTGTAACACAGGGGGATGTGACAGTATATCCACTGAATCACCCAGCCCATAGATTGCTGTAACACAGGGGGGTGTGACAGTGTATCCACTCAATCACCCAGCCCATAGATTGCTGTAACACAGGGGGGTGTGGCAGTGTATCCACTGAATCACCCAGCCCATAGATTGCTGTAACACAGGGGGGTGTGGCAGTGTATCCACTGAATCAGCCAGCCCATAGATTGCTGTAACACAGGGGGATGTGACAGTGTATCCACTGAATCACCCAGCCCATAGATTGCTGTAACACAGGGGGGTGTGGCAGTGTATCCACTGAATCACCCAGCCCATAGATTGCTGTAACACAGGGGGATGTGACAGTATATCCACTGAATCAGCCAGCCCATAGATTGCTGTAACACAGGGGATGTGACAGTGTATCCACTGAATCACCCAGCCCATAGATTGCTGTAACACAGGGGGTGTGGCAGTATCCACTGAATCACCCAGCCCATAGATCACCCAGCCCATAGATTGCTGTAACACTGGGGGATGTGACAGTATATCCACTGAATCAGCCAGTCCATAGATTGCTGTAAGTTACACAGCAGACTGCCAGGTGATGTTTCTCTGTAACAACCTCACACAACCCATAGATTGCTGTAAGTTACACAGCAGACTGCCAGGTGCAGGTTACACTGAGTCAGTGTCCCTACCGTATGTTCAGATCGTACCTACAGCTGACTTTGTTGTAAATCCCACTGATTCTGCATCAGGAAGACTTGTAGTGAGTGAGTGAGTTTAGTTTTATGCCGCACTCAGCAATATTCCAGCTATATGGCAGCGGTCTGTAAATAATGGAGTCTGAACCAGAAAATACAGTGATCAACGATATGAGCATCGTTCTACGCAATTGGGAACCAATGATATGTGCCAACCAACTCAGCGAGCCTGACCACCAGATCTTGTTGGTCGACTCTTATGTAACAACAAGCATGGGTTACTGAAGATCAATATTCTAACCCGAATCTTCAATTGTAAGAATGTTTAACATAAATGATTATGTATAATACAAACTGGAGTCAACTGTGTCAAGTTTACATTTGACCGCTGTAAGTTGGGCTGTTCTTAGGAACTATTCACTGTGTTTCCACCACGTGTAATGTTTCCAGCATGACTACTGATATAAACATTGAAAACATGTTTCATAGATACGGAGCTGTGTCATTAACAAGACTGAGGAAAGAACCTTTTCAACACTATGTAAGTTAATTTTGAAACTGACAGAAAATCAATAATTTACATGTCCGCTGTAATGCCTGAACTACCCTAGTAGAAAAGCTACAACAACGGGTTAGTGGTCAAGCTGACCGCAGTTCTTGTCAGTAATCCAGGCGGGCCAAATGCTCCTTACATAACTTATCAGGAACAGATCGTCATTTGTGACCAAGAGCTGATCTACCCCAAGGCTCCACAAATCAGTGTTCACGAATGGTGTTTCAAAGTAACAGGACATTGCGTCCTGTAAGTTTCAGAGGTCTGTCTGACCCACTGAAAATTCACAGGACCCATAGAATAAAAATTAAACACACATTTCAGATTTAACACTTCTTATAAGTGGCATTGAAATTATTAACACTCATAAAATTTGTAAACAGCAAACAAGTGTGATGTGTCACATACGACAACTTCAGTCAAAGTCATTGTAAAAAAATATACAGTCGGACACTGGGGCTGGCAGGTGGTAGACTTCCACCGGACCACCAGCGAATCTGCCGGATTTGTCAGAGGGTCAGACGCTAATCATGAACACTGCAAATACTTCTATTTCTGTCTACACATAATGAACTATTAATAGATCCACAAAACGCCAAAATGACACTGATACTGACTGCTTATATTACGCTATACATCTTGCTATATTGTTACAATATATATCAAAATTGTTGAGTAGAATGACAGAACTGATAGTAAAGTTCTGAATTAAAATTGTCACATCATATTTGTGTTGCTCATAACACTCTAATTAACAATAATCATTTCGTAATTAATTCCCTGGCAAACATCTTGTCAGTGTGTTGTAGATTATGTTACAATTGGTTTCCTTCAAAATACCATAATCCACTTCTTCCCATTCCAATACGATTTATATTCTCGGTTGTCATTTGAGTTAAATGCTGAGGCGGTGCGCAGAGCAGCACTGTTGTCAACCAATGTGTAATTACAGAAAGGTTCGCCACGCATACACATACAGACCCTCACAGAGACCTGCTGTCATTGTCAGTAGAATTCAGTGATATCAGCTCAAGACAATATATTTACCAGTTACTTTTCAATCAAATGTCTGTGGCTTTTCTCAATAGCCTGATGAGTAATGTGTGAATGAAATGATGCCTGGTTGGTGGTTGTATCGTGAACGTAAATCGCCAGAACCATGTAAACAGATAAACACCGTCAAATGGCAGGAGTGAACAGGGGAGCGTCGCGTGCCATTAACAACACCGATTACTGTGATAATCAACTATCTTCACTGTGAAATAACTCAGTGAGCAAGTTTTCAGTCAGAGCTGAATCTCGAAAAGTGGTTGTGTTGCCAGCTACCAATGACAGAGTAATGAAACATACCTCTTGTTCAGAGCTGTCTTTGAAACACAAACAGGCCGCTCTTCGTCGATAACCATCTTGGTCGTAGGTCCTGATCGAATCGGGCTTTTCCTTCACCATGTTCTAAACAAACGTGTTGTAACTGTCACAAGACACTCGTCGTAGACATTTTGAGAACGCTGTGCCTGAAAGCACGTGTCTGCAAGTGAGACGGCCACTCTGCTGTCAACAATCACTTGGCTCCACTATCAACTTATTCAATGAACCGCATGTGGGTAAAAGGCCCGTGTGCAAAACGGTGCCAAGAGAAATATTTCCCCATGAAAATTCATTCCCCGTAGGCTGTATTTGCACTGCTAAGCGTTCGCTCGGAAGTTCTTCAAGTAACTAATTAGATGAGGTCTTTTTAAACCAAGGGCCCACGGTCACCGATTTTGTTGTGAATTCACTGCCACTGACTATGAGCCCTCGGAATGGAGGACTACATACAGCGCGCATGTACTATCCCTGTACACGGGGTTGCGAGCAGCCATGTAATTCGATGGTAAGATTTAATGTAACGTTACATAGGCAATGATTCAGACATAACGCGACGCGATTGGTTTAGAGAAGGTTATTCCCACACGGGAGTCGAGACGTACAGGCTCCCTAACTTTCTCCACCATATCCGTGCTCATGGGAAGCTATATAGTGGAGCGTTCATACAGTGTTTGCCTGGAGAACGGAATGTCTGTGGTTCAAGTCCCTGCAGTGTCACACCAAAAGGTGGGACAAGAGGAATTGCTACCACCCTGCCTGGCGCTCGGCAGTAAGGGGGATACATGATCGGCTGGTAGTCTGTGTATTGTGTCTGAGTGGGGTATCCGTGTTACACTGGTAGACTAGGGATAGACCACAGATAGACCAGGGATAGACCACACACAGATCAGGGATAGACCACACACAGATCAGGGATAGACCAAACAGATCAGGGATACACCACAGATATACCAGGATAGACCACAGATAGACCAGGATAGACCACAGATAGACCAGGGATTAGCACACACAGATCACAGATAGACCAGGATAGACCACAGATAGACCAGGGATTACCACACACAGATCAGGGATAGACCACAGATAGATCAGAGATAGACCACACACAGACCAGGGATAAACCACACACAGACCAGGGATAGACCACACACAGATCAGAGATAGACCACGCACAGACCAGGGATAGACCACAGATATACCTCTGGTAGACCAAGGATAGACCACACACAGACCAGGGACAGACCACACACAGACCAGGGATAGACCACACACAGATCAGGGACAGACCACACACAGATCAGGGATAGACCACGCACAGACCAGAGATAGACCACACACAGACCAGGGATAGACTAAGCACCAGACCAGAGATAGACCACGCACAGACCAGGGATAGACCACACACAGATCAGGGACAGACCACACACAGACCAGGGATAGACCACACACACAGGGACAGACCACACACAGACCAGGGATAGACCACGCACAGACCAGGGATAGACCACGCACAGATCAGGGATAGATCACAGATTGACCAGGGATAGACCACACACAGACCAGGGATAGACCATGCAGAGATCAGGGATAGACCACAGATTGACCAGGAATAGACCACACAGACCAGGGATAAACCACAGACAGACCAGGATAGAACACAGACAGACGAGGATAGACCACACACAGATCAGGGATAGACCACGCACAGACCAGGATAGACCACCCACAGATCAGGGATAGACCACAGACAGACCAGGATAGACCACAGACAAACCAGGATTGACCACCGACATATCAGGGATAGACTACACACAGATCAGGGATAGACCATAGATTGACCAGGATAGACAACCAACATATCAGGGATAGACCACACAAAGACCTTGGATAGACCACGCAAAGATCAGGGATAGATTACAGATTGACCAGGAATAGACCACACACAGACCAGGGATAGACCACAGACAGACCAGAGATGGACCACACACAGACCAGGGATACACAGACCAGGTATAGAGACCAGGGATAGACCACACACAGACCAGGGATAGACCACACACAGACCACAGAGGACCACACACAGACCAGGGATAGACCATGACCACACAGGAATAGACAGACCAGGGATAGACCACACACAGATCAGCACAGACCAGGGGATAGATAGACCACACAGACCAGGGATAGATAGACCACAGACAGACCAGGGATAGACCACACACAGACAGACCACGCACAGATCAGGATAGACCACAGGGATAGACCACGCACAGACCAGGGATAGACCACACACAGATCAGGACATAGATCCACACACAGACCAGGGATAGACCACACACAGACCAACACGCACAGACCAGGATAGACCAGGGATAGACCACACACAGATAGACCAGCAGAGATCAGGGATAGACCACAGATTGACCAGGAATAGACCACACAGACCACAGACCAGGGATAAACCACAGAGACAGACCAGGATAGACCACAGACAGACCAGGATAGACCAACGACATATGAGGGAGAGACCACACACAGATCAGGGATAGACCACACACAAGTCAGGGACAGACCACAGATTGACCAGGATAGACCACCGACATATCAGGGATAGACCACACAGACCAGGGATAGACCACGCAGAGATCAGGGATAGACCACAGATTGACCAGGAATAGACCACACACAGACCAGGGATAAACCAGAGACAGACCAGGATAGACCACAGACAGACCAGGATAGACCAACGACATATGAGGGATAGACCAACGACATATGGGGGATAGACCACACACAAGTCAGGGACAGACCACAGATTGACCAGGATATACCACCGACATATCAGGGATAGACCACACACAGACCAGGGATAGACCACACACAGATCAAGGATAGACCACACACAGATCAAGGGTAGACCACACACAGATAAAGGATAGACAACACACGGATCAGAGATAGACCACACACAGATCAGGGATAGACCACAGACAGATCAGGGACAGGCCACACACAGATCAGGGATAGACCGTGCACAGATCAGGGTAGACCGTGCACAGATCAGGGACAGACCAGGGATAGACCACACACAGATCAGGGATAGACCACACACAAACCAGGCATAGACCGCGCACAGATCAGGGACAGACCACACACAGACCAGGGATAGACCATACACAAACCAGGCATAGACCACACACAGACCAGGGATAGACCACACACAGATCAGGGATAGGCCACACACAGACCAGGGATAGACCGCGCTCAGATCAGGGACAGACCACAGATTGACCAGAGTAGACCACACATAGACCAGGGATTACTACACACAGACCAGAGATAGACCACACACAGATCATGACAGATCACACACAGATCAGGGATAGACCACACACAGATCATGGATAGACAACACACAGACCAGGGATAGACCAAACCCAGACCAGGGATAGACCACACACAAACCAGGGATAGGCCACATATTGACGAACCGGGGCGATGTTTCACTAAAAGATGGTACAGTTAAGAAACTAAATGACATGCGAACGGCCAGTCACCAGTCTGCAATCGCCGATCACCGATCATTAGTGAGAGTGCCCTCTCTTGAGGCCGGGTTCTGTTGCGCAGACATGGGGAGACCGAATCAAAGATGTACAAGCCTGCTACAAGTATGGCTGCACATCGATGGGCAAAATCAATGTTCGTGCAGAAATGCTGACTTTTATAAGTAAACTTAGACAGTTAAGTGACTTGGCGGTAGATCCAGGACGGTACATCGGCTACCCACCTCATACTGGTTACATACCAACAATGATACCAGTTGGTATCTGTATATGATTTATATTTGTATTAAGTTGTATTGCATTGAAGGAATAATTCACTACATACGCAAATACTCACTGTACAATTCCATGAAAGGCGATACAAAATGGTGTGTGTGTGTGCGTGCGTGCACGCGCGCGCGGGAGCGAAAACGCACATACATGCACTGTATGTAGGTCAACATTTTCCACAGTATACATCAGACATGCACTTTGACAATGAAAACATTTGCTTCAAATAAATACATTTTTATCTAATAAGATCACTTCTTTTGATGTGGCATCTGGAAACTAGACTTGGTTCAGTTGTGCATGTCTAGACTTGCCTTGGATTAGAGTTAAACTAATACTTTTAATTACACGTAAATTCCGCAGTCGTGTCGAAGGACTAATTTCCCAGCGGTGACAGCAGGTTATAAAGATGTAAATACGTGCTATGTAATGTACATCTCTACTGAATCCGACAGCACTGAGTATATGTTATTGCAAGGTGCTCTATACTACAGCGGCGACCTGACATTTGTGTACATACAGCAGGTTACGCAGCAGGTTACGCAGCCCCCTCAAGCATATGCAATGGGAAGGATGCACGTCGAAGGTGATTTCAGCAGAACGTTCTTCGACGAGGCAGTCTCTGTTTCCTGGGAGAATACCCGATCATAGGCTGGTGCACACGAGACAGAGTACACACTGCAGGCTGCTGCATCCTAGTAAATATCAAGTGTGTACTGCACCCTTGTGTAGCCAGTGTGTAGTAACCCTGTTCATGTAGAGTTGGTACCCCCGACACACTGGACCTATAAGTCCGTTATATGGGACGACTATAGCTACCTGCTGCACCTACCCAAACATGCCCCACACCAAGCTGTGATAGATCTAATGCCCAGGGTATACAATACATAGCTACTATTTTCCAGGGTATACAATACATAGCTACTATTGTCCAGGATATACAGTGCACAGCTACTATTGTCCAGGATATACAATACATAGCTACTATTGTCCAGGGTATACAATACATAGCTACTATTGTCCAGGATATACAGTGCACAGCTACTATTGTCCAGGGTATACAATACATAGCTACTATTGTCCAGGGTATACAATACATAGCTACTATTGTCCAGGGTATACAATACATAGCTACTATTGTCCAGGGTATACAATACATAGCTACTATTGTCCAGGGTATACAATACATAGCTACTATTGTCCAGGGTATACAATACATAGCTACTATTGTCCAGGGTATACAATAAATAGCTACTTATGTCCAGGATATACAATAAATAGCTACTATTGTCCAGGGAATACAATACATAGCTCCTGTTGTCCAGGGAATACAATACATAGCTACTATTGTCCAGGGTATACAATACATAGCTACTAATGTCCAGGGTATACAATACATAGCTACTAATGTCCAGGGTATACAATACATAGCTACTATTGTCCAGGGTATACAATAAATAGCTAGTATTGTCCAGGGTATACAATACATAGCTACTATTGTCC